GATATTGTTTTGAAGACTGATTTGGATGTTTTTAACATAAGTTTGGATAGATTCAAAAGAATTTTAAAGTCGATCCTTAAATGATCGTTTTTTGTATTTGTTTTCAATTTTAAGCGTATTATGTTGTTGTTTGTGTTTTGATACCTACTACAAAATATTTGTTTAGGCCTATGTAATGTTGTTTTTTTATACTAATTTGTCTGTTGCCTACTTGTTATTCCAAATATTTATTATTGCGTGTACCTACACTTTAAGTCTACCTTTGTAAAAATGGCATGTCCGTAAATAAAGAATTTATTATTTATTAATCGGATCAGCTTTTCCTGTCTTATTCAACCGTCCATAAAAGTGTTTTTTTACTGACGTTTCATAAAAGCAACTTTTCGATTGTCATTTTAGTTTTGAAACGACATTCTTTTAAGCACTCAGTGCGTAAAAGTGACTTTTGAGTGCGTAAAAGTAATTTTTAAGCACTAGTGCCTAAAAGTGTCATTCATTATTCAGAAATAAAAAACACACTAAACACATATTTGAATTTTGTTTTGTATTTATTATGAATATTGAAAATGGAATTACTGAATTGAACGTTTGGTTTACTCAAAACAGAACTTTGTGTTATTACCTACTTTCTAGGATTTTAATTATTGATGTCGAATTTTGAAAAGAAAATCGCATGAAAAGTGTCAGGTGTCAAGTAAAAGCAGGTAACAAAGATTTTGGGTGTAATCGACTTATTCACATGAAATAAAATTGTGTTTTTTTATTATAAAATGCCAGTAGAAAAAATCTTGTATACAATACGTTACGAAACGATGTCTTTTAGTCACTCGACGTGTTGTCCAACTCGGCTTTGCCTCGTTGGACAATTTTCACGTCGCGTGCCTAAAAGACGCTCATTTCGTAACTTATTGTATAAATAGCTATTTTACTACATAGTTTAATTTTTAGCTGATCTTACAGCAAAAAATAGGTGTTTTTCTTGGTTTATAGTCTACAGGGTGTCCCAGGGTGGATGGCGTATTAGACGTTTATAGAGAACTAAAAAGCGGATCATTTTGAAAATTTGGCAACCGGGATAAACGACCATAATCTACACTTTAAAAATATTTTTGTTTATGCGGTGTTGCCGCTTCTACTCTAAACCAGTGGCAACATCGCTATTTTAAATGAAACACCCTGTATGTGATTGTATATTTGGATTCTACGTAAAATTCTGAGCAGATTTTATGTGATATACCCTATACCTAAGTTCAACTGTTTTGGAAATATTGACAGTTGAAAATTGACTTTTTGCAACTTTGACAGGCTGTAAAACCTAAACCATAGACTTAAATACTACGAATAGACGTCCAGTCAAATGGTAAAAATCTGCGACGCTATTTGGAGGCTCGCTATCGAAAGCGAGCCTCCAAATTCAATTCAGGCTTTGGTATTTTAGATGCTAGATACGAGATGGCGCGCATTTCTGTCATAATTCAAATTCGCGCGTTACGCTGTTGCCAATAGTTCTAAAATAACTAGTCCAAAATCATTAAATAGGCCAAACCATACATTAAGACACCAATTTTTTTTATTACTGCATCTTATACTAAATATTATACGCAAATTAATAAATTGTTAATGTTAAGATTTTTTTTTAATATAAATAAATTTCACTTATTTTGTAAATTGTTAAGTTTTCTATTTCTAGTGAAAGCTGAAATGGATTTTTTTTTTAAATGGATTTTGAAAATTAGTTCTTTGAAATCCAAGCAATAATTTATTTCTTCGAAAGTCGCAAATAGCAAAGAGAATTCTTGTCTAGTTTTTGTCCGTATAAATTTGACAACACCGAAACATCAGAAAAAAGGCGGAATGCGGTTGTCCTGGAAACAATGACACGCTGCTCGTACACAAGGGTGCTAGCACAGTTTTCTTTGAATTTTTAATACGAGTGGCGCCATCTTATGAATTATTGAGGCATTTTTTGTGCTGCTATTTCCACTGGACGTCTATTCGTAGTATTTAAGTCTATGCCTAAACGGTTAATTTCAGAGGAAAACCGATCTTACATTCCTATCTTAGATTTTCGTAAACTATCATTTGACACCAACTTTGAATTTAACCGGAGATTAAATTTAATTGGAATTTTTAATCATGGATTAAATTCAAAATTGGTGTCAAATGATAGTTTATAAAAATCTAAGAGAGGAATGTGAATCGGTTTTTCTCTAAAATTAACCGTTCAGGTTTTACAGCCTGTCAAAGTTGCAAAAAGTCAATTTTCAACTGTCAATATTTCCAAAACAGTTGAACTTAGGTATAGGGTATATCACATGAAATCTGTTCAGAATTTTATGTAGAATCCAAATATGCAATTAAATACGGGGCGTTTCATTTAAAATAGCGATGTTGCCACTGGTTTAGAGTAGAAGCGGCAACACCGCATAAACAAAAATATTTTTAAAGTGTAGATCACGGTCATTTATCCCGGTTGCCAAATTTTCAAAATGATCCGCTTTTTAGTTCTCCATAAACGTCTAATACGCCATCCACCGTGGGACACCCTGTATAGTCAGTACACTATAATAATGAGTAAATAAAGCTTACTACGATTTGTCTGATTTAACTATAAATTTAAAAAAAAAAACAATATTTCCATAAGTTCCCGAAAGTTTCCAATATTCCTGGAAAGTTTCCGAGAATGTTCACAGCTTTCGAATGTTTTGGGAATTTTACATCTCTACTTCCAGAGTATTCCCATATACTTCCAGAGTATTGCCATATACTTCCAGAATATTCTCAAGGATATCCAAGTATTCCTAGGTATTTCCACAGTATTACCAAGTATTCCTCGGTATTCCCAGCAACATGTACATACATTGAATTCCATGAGTGATTTACCCCTCGACTAAAACTCAACAATCTTAGAGTAATCTCAAGGATTTTTATCGACAAGAGTATAAAAATTAAAGTGAAGAACTACTGCAAACCTATTGCCATAGTATTTTAGATTATTGAAATGATATTGTCAACTATTGCAAGCATATTTTAGACTATTGTGAGAGTATTGCTGACTATTGTGAGAGTATTGCAGACATTTGCAAGAGTATCGTGGAACATTGCAAGGGTCCATCACACTATCCGGAAACACGAATTTGACATTTTTGAAGCTTTTACATTAAAATAGACAACTCAAATAATAGTTTTATGAAAAAAAAAATGCGGGTTTTTTCATTTTTCTCCAAGAAAATTCAGTTCAAACTGACGGAAATTGAGTGTGTGTGTGTGTGTGTATGTCTCAATGGCTCTGGCGGAAGCCAACTGGCCAGCGTCTCTCATTGTATTATATTATATTTTATTTCACTTTTTATTTTATTTTTTATTTGAATGAAATTTTTTTTAATTATGCATAATTTTTTATTTTTTTTTTTTAAACTTTCTGAACTGTTTACTGAGATTTCGGGAATTTTACATAACTTTTGAGAACTCTATCCTCTATTCCTACATATTGCATTTAAATGTGACGGAAATTGACCATTTCATAAATCGAATACGACATTAAACGAAATAAAAATGCAAGGTGCAATCAACGTTGCCACATTGTGTGATATCTCCTGAGCTTAAATAATAATAAACATAAAAAAAACCATAGTCATAGTTTCTTAGAGGTTTTATTTATATTTCTTACTAATAAGTTGCATTAACCATTTGTATCTATACATTATAATATAAAAAAGGAAAAGTTGAATTAAGAACCGCTAAAACTAAACAAAGCAAACTTCCTTAGGGAACAAAATATGTAATTAATCAACTTAATAATCCTATAAAAAACCATTTAATATTTTTGTCCAATTTGCAATGTTAAGTTGTACATTCGTTGGATGGCATTTTTGCCATATATCTGCTTCCACATACCTATATTGGTCAATATATTGTGGCAAATATTTTGAATGCATAACACCCATAGCTCTGAGATATTTTTTCAAGCCAGACCAATACCCTTCCACCTGGTTGGTACAGACCTCTGTAATGGGATCTTTGAAATATTTGGTATGGTTTACTGTACTGTTCGGTGGACGTAACCATAGTCTACCAATCCAGAATAAGCGCGTCAATTGCCTGTCCATATTTCACTATCGACCCTTACATGTTTTGTTATAATCGGCAAAAGAATCGCAGCGGATCGATTTTTGACATATTGAATATATTCCGTTTTTTCAGTGTTATATTTTCTTTCAGAATTTACCGATTCATCAATCTGTACCAAATGATTCTCTCCGCCTAAATAGAATAAAAATTATAACAGACGATCCTCTTCTCAACCTTTGACACAGATCAATGAATATTATCAATTCTTATCAGTTTAATATCACTATCGCTCTGTTTTTCGATAATGACACATAAATAAAAAATGAATCAATAGTAAAGTAATTTTTTTCTGGGTCTCGTAAGGAAAAAAGGTGATCTGATTTTAGAAACTTTTTCAACTTAAAAAAAAAACATAAAATCAATAATCTTAGTAAATTAAATGACAAATATTTTCCTGTATGAATTTCAGTAAATTTATTTATTCATAAGAATATTTAATGTTTTCCGCATCTAATTGAACATTTTAAAGAGGAACTAAACGGTTTTATGGAGAAAGTATATCGAACTTGTAAGTTTTAGTGTTTCCGTATAGTATGATGGAACCCATTGCAACATTTTGTGGACTACTGCAAAGTATTGAGCACAATTTCAAGGTATTGCATTCTATTGCAAGGCATTACTGCTGCAATACTATACCTAAATTTGTACATAATATTATATTGTGGCCAGTGAAATCCTGCTTGTTTTTTTCCTTGTAGCGGCGAAACCATCCAATCGACCCCCCTATTTTTTTTTGAAAATCAAACAAGGGGGTAGGAAGTACAACATACAAAAATTCAAGCAATTTCACTGAGACCACTTTTTAATGTAATTTGTGCATGGTCCTTTCTGATCAAGAAATAACTATCTACTAATGAAATTTTACTTACATTTGCTTTCCAGAAAAAATCAACCTCTGTTGTTGTGGAGGTATACCTTCCTTTTCTTCTACCCTTTCCTTAATCCTTTCTACTTTGTCTGTTGGTTCAATATCAATTTCAATTTCTTTACCAGTCAGTGTCTAAAAAAAAAGTTGAAGATAGAAAGGACATGATGATTCTTGTACATTATACTTTTTTGTATTGAACTTTGAGACGTTCCTATTTGAAAAAATTGAAATTCTTGTTTGTAGTGAGGTTTGCAACAAAAATAGCAAGTACTTAGGCTAGTAATGAAGAAATTTCGGAAGAAGAATCTTATGGAAGAACTAGAAGCTATTATATTTCAATCAATATAAAAACTATAGAAAAGCCAGGATGAAAACAAAATGATGAGCCAAAGAAATTATTGAAACCGATAATGGTAGGAACTATTCAAAGTCTGGAAATTGAACTAAAAATCGAGCTAAAAATATTCAAGTGCAAATACACATGATATTCGAAAAGATTTTAAATACAAAAAATAAATAAAAATAGGCTCTCATTATAGGGAAACATAACCTCTTTTTCTTAACTTACCTTCACTTTAATCAGCATTTTGTTGTTGTTTAGTGAACAGGTATCACAAAAATACACTTACGAATTAATTTATTGTAGGCTAATAATAATAAATTATTTATTTATGAATAATTTCGCAATTTGTAAGAATGCCGAACACAAAAATTTCTATCAATCAAATCAGCAGTTCCAAATTTTTAAGCAATCGACTGACATGACAATTGACATTTTTTTTCCAGATCATATAAGTGTTTTCGTTAGTAAAACTAGTGTTGCACTAGGTTTAGTTTCGTGGAACACGAGTGTTGGTGAAAATCGCCCGAGTTGAATACCAATAAAACACAAATTCAACAACAGTTATTTGATTGATACTGATAATTTTACCAATACTGCACCCGATTGATCAAAAAGCGATCCGAAACGGTTTCACATATTTGGCTTAAAACGGAGCGTTGCTCTCGGCACCATTCGTTTCACGTGTTCGATTTGAGCAATAGAAAACTGGCACAGAGCGCTCTTTCTTGCTCCGTCAAAAATTCGACGGATCAAAGAGTTTGATCAAAATAAAGAATGTTCGGCTATTGATTTCAAATGGTGTGTCCTCGTTTGGATTAAAATCGCTGCCGGAGCACTCCCGCAGAGATCTGTGACGTCACCGCCTAGACGGAGAGCGCTCTGGGAGCAGTAAAGCGTTATGTTGGAGTGGATGGAGTTCCATTGGCAAAAAATGTATGGATAATGGGAATGGGCCAATGGGTACATGCACCACCACTCAACTGAACCGTTGCCAAGAGTATTTTAGTTGGGAAAACAATCGCGTTCAGCGGCGCTCAACAAAAGCCCCTTTTTGTCAGCTGCTGCGATTGGTCTAAAAGCAATAAAAGTCAAGGCTTACCGTCTCAACTTATGGTTTAAACATGCGCAGAAGTGTTGGGCGTTCAGGAATTTTACATCCGCAGTATCTCAACTATCCTCAACTGCCTTGCGCTGCAAGTTAGCTGCTGCTGATTTCTGGTGAGCGTAACCATTGACACATTCAACCTACTAGGCTATTGGCCAAGTGTGTACTGAGTAAGTGACAAATTCATATAAACAAATATTATTTTTTATTATGGCCGACACTAGTTCATCGGCGCATCCTTTGATTTATGTGTCCTCACATTTTCATGACATCCGTTGATCCTTTATCCCTGATAATCAGGGAAATTGCGACATCTTCGGGTTGAACAAATAATTATATTTCTTAGAAATAGCGGAAGCATAATTTTATTAGGTCAACGTATCGAAATGACGCGATTTCATGGTAGGACCGAAATGTTTTTAAACAATCAGGTAGCAAGCGCGAGCGGTAGACATAACAAAGATTAGTCATCAGTACAAATCAGTCCAGTGAAGATAAAATTTGCGAATAAGTTGTTTTGTTATGTGCGAGCTTAAAAATAATTACTTTTAACATCGATGATGTCATAACTTGGAAAAAAAGGTTTGTCGTAGAAATTCATATAAATTCAATAGCGTTCAGATTTTGTGTTAAAATTTATTTTAACTTAGTTCATTTGAGTTTTCCGGAAATATATAAATTAATGAACTGCGTATCATATATTGCGAAACCGAGATAGTACCTAATTTTAATCTTGAAGGTACCTTATTTTCATTTACGCGTCTTTTGACATCAATTTTTTTGAGAAATTTAATGAATCACTTCAAGATGAGGTGTTTTCTCGCGTCTCAAAATTTTGAAACATTTTCCAAAACTGGTTTAAAACAGTTTCAAAATGACGCCATAATTTCTCTGCGCGAGAAAATGGTTGAAAACGTGGATTGGATTGTATTTCGAAACGGTTTCAACCAATATTGTGTGACGTCATGGGTTCATCGCAAGAATATAGTATTTCAAATCAAACCTGTTTTGAACCAGTTTCAAAAAAGTGGACGCCAGAAAGCAGCTCTGGTTTCAAGAACCGACGAACGTTTTTGACGTCATTAATTTGTTACAGTCAATTTTTATTTGTTAGAAAAGGAAGGCCAATGATGACAAAAGTACAAGCCCTCGTGAAAAAAAGAGTAGGTATACCTACCTACTAATAATATAGTTTACTTAACTTAAGTTTTCCTTTCTCTTTGGTTTTGTTATAGCAACAATAATTTTTTTATATAATTAGCTACCTACATAGGAATCTGTTGGAAGGTTCCTACTATATGCGTAATAAAATTACGCATTCACCAAAGCACTGTGTAGCTTTAGCTCATTTGTTGTCTTATAGTTTGCAGTTAGCGTAATACAACTTACACATATCTTATACCTATTCTTTTGGTTGGAAATCATTTGGGCTCTCCGGTTCCAAAAAAAAAGACAATGAAGCCAGGTTGATAGAGTCCAAGTGTACTTGAATCAAGTACTCTTGGACGCGCTTGAATGATACTTGGATCGTATCAAAACCAAGTCCAGTTGGATAGGTCCTAACATCCAACTAGCTAAGTAGAGGCTGGCTTGGCTGCCAACTAAACTTACGTGGTCCAAGGTCTCATTCAAGAGCACTTGGACCGTGTCAACCGGGCTTAAACAATCTTACATTTAAGTACAATAAGGTGATCTATTATAAATGTCCCCTCTCGCATAACTTTTTCATTTGACATTTTTGACAAAAGTATCAAATCTTTTCGCTGGAGACTTGAGGGTATAAGTTTCAATCAGTTAATTTTAAAATTCACTCATTCACAGATCAGAAATTGTACTTGGACAAGTCGAACTAGTTGATTGCTAGGTTTAGGTAAGAAGGCACGTACTCATATCTCTCTTAGTGTACACTGCAAGAACGGAACTACAGGCTGGAATACGTACAGGGTAGTTCTGTTCTTGTGAAGGACCTAAGGGCGTGACGTGCCGGAACACGTACAGAGTAGCGCAGTTCGGTCTCTATTGTATTAGGTGGTTAGAGGGAACGAAACTACGGGTTGGCACACGTACAGGGTAGTTTTTTTCCTACTAGTGAATAACCTAAGGCCGCTTCGGGCTTGGACACGTACAGAGGGTAGCGCTCTTCGGCTGTTTTTGTGTATAGGGGGAACGAAACTACGGACTGGAACACGTACAGGGTAGTTTTGTTTCCTACTATGGAAAGACCAAAGGGGCTAGGTTTGTTTGTTTGTGTTGTTCGGGGCAGCAGTTCCTGCTTTGGGGCGTTCGTTGGCGAGCGTTTTATATGGATCATCTGCCATAATCTGAAATATTACAGCTTAGTTCAAGTTAGTGCGACACAAACAAACATGCATTTTATCTCACACTTATGGCGATTTCCATTTGTCAATCAGTGCGCACTGATGAGTGTATCCACATCTTTTTCCTAAAGCATGTAGCATGTAAGAAGGATACATTTTTTTTGCACTGGTTCGACAAATGGAAATCGCTATTAAAGTAGTGATAGTTTGACAGTTCTACGTCCTCCGTCCTCCAGAGAAGATTTATCAGGAGAAAATCGTATACAGGCATCTAAAAGCTGTATCAAACCTGCCTCTAGACCTGTATAGCTGTCTTAAACAGTAAACAGACCTGTCTAAAGCTGTATCCGACTTGTCCAAACCTGTATCAAACATGTTCTAGCTGTATATAGACCTATCTAAAATTGTATCCAGCCATACAGGTCTAGCGGCAGGTCTGATACAGCTTTTAAACGTTGTATACGATTTTCAACTGATAAATCTTATCCGGAGGACGAAGGGCGTACCTTCTTCTGACCTCTCATTATGCTGGGACCTGAAGCTTTCTGCCCAGTTTCAAATGCAGTCATGCGCCTTTAGGGCAGTGATCCGAGGCGCCGTAGGAGTTGGCTCGTTCACCCAACCGTGATTCTGGAGCTTCTTGCCTTTTTACTGCCCTGTCATTTAAAGCCGCGCTGTAATACCAGACCGCACCGTGAAGCATATCACCGCCATTTCTCTCTTATTTCTCGTTCACACGCTCACGCTTCATTCAATTAAACCTTAAACTTTTACCTTAATTAAGTTTTTTTGCATTTTCCTGTTGTATTATAAATTATTAGGTAAACAATAATCGCCGTTTCCCCAACTATTTTAGGGAAGCCCTAATTTCTGAACTGAACATTTCTCCATAGCAGACTGTCATTTTAAGGAATACTTATCATTGAGTATCGAGTATCCCCTAAAATAGTTGGTGGAAACGGAGCTTGAAACGGACATAAAACTACTTTCTTGTGTATTTCATTTTTGGGGAATGCGCATTGACCTCTGGTTTTTTCGTCTCCATTGCGTTAAAAGCTACCTAGAGAGCACGTGGGCCCGTAACCACTATAATCTTTGGTGCCGCCCGAGTTTTCCGAAAAACCCCAGAACCAGAACCGACCGCTTTCGTACCGAAAAACCAAAGTAGCGCTACAAGATACTTTTGACAATGTTGCATTTTGAGATACCCCTTGTATCTTAACTCTCTTATAAGTGGTCGGAAAGGTGCGACAACGGGCTCTTTCTTATAGATCTTTTTACGTAGATTCCAGTGGCGAAGTCAATTTTTCTTTAGAAGTGATAGTTTTTGAAGTATGAACCAAACATACGTTTTTTCAAATGAGACCTTGTATAAGAAAATTCGCACTTTTTTGACATTGCTTCGACAATTTGACGTTTAATGCGTGAATCAAACGTCAAATTGTCGAAGCAATGTCAAATAAAGGCGAATTTCGCAGTTATGAGTACTAGGCTTCATAATAACTCATTAGATTTATTTACATACTGGATGTCTTTTATAAAATTTATGTTGAAATTGCCAATAGTAGATATTATACAGTATTCGTATTGCAAGGATAGGTAATACACACTACTACTACAGGATTGCCTATCTTCATAAAGCCTGTGCAGTTCAAACCTCAAGCCCCCACCATGCCAAATCACCAGTGATGACGTAGACAGCGTGTCGTTTTTCGCCTTGACGTACGGTGTTTGTGTATGATTCCACTGGCTTTTGTTTTATGCATACTTGGTTTCACTACATTATTTACCATTCTAAAACAACTGTTTTTTTTTTATCTCGTTTGCATCTTCCTTTTTGCTTATTATTATGTTAATCAAAATGGAATAATATTTTTCATCATAAATCTAATGGCGTTTTCGATTGGTAGGTTCAGTGCGCACTGAGTGTATTTGCATCCTTTCAATCGACCTGTAGAAGAAAAAGACAGAAATAGAAAAAATTGCACTATAGTTCCGCACTAGACCTACGAATCGGACACGCCATAAATTCTAAACTACGACCGCTGGTGTTAATGGCGTTATTGACGTCGGCTATGGTGCTAAAACCATGACCGCGATCACCAAAAACGAGGGCCGAGGCCGGTAAGCAATCCGTAGTAGGAGTGTATTATCCGCCCAAAAATTTACACCGATTTTCAAAAAATTAATTTCAAAAAATTTTGCATGTTACTATACTCTATAGGTACTAGGTGATCGATTCGATAATATATCTACTGATGAAGAACAAAACACCCTGCATATGGAATATAATATCGATATTTGACGTGGTGTTGCATTTTTTTTTGTTCTTCAGTATATTAGGTATTATACACAAATTTGATTTCGAAAATTTAACTTATTAACTTTTTGAACCACCATCAACTAAAATACCGCCATCTTCTATTCTCACATTTTGCCTAAGAACTGAGTGATTTGTGCACGCAACATTCCTCTTGGCTATTTGCAAGGGTGTGAACCTGAGCAGTTACCCGAGCCATAATTTAAAAAAATATAAAAGATAGAGTGAAAGAGCTTTCAAGCCATTAGGTACCCTAGAAATAAATAAATTTGAAAATACCGCCTAATAATATTTTTTATCGCAGATATTGGCGGTTCAATTTTCTCGTCCACCACAGAGCACAGAATTTCTCCATTGTGGTTTTGAAACTGAGAAGCAGAGCAGATTGAGACTGGGACTGACACTTGCCCCTAGTTCGCATTTTTGTATCGTCGTCCTTATTCGTCGTTTTTGAACAATGAGTAAGTATTGCTTAATATAGGTGTTTTTGTACTGGATATTGAGCCTAATGAATAAAAAACAAGCAATTGCTTGGAGCAATTGCTATTTAGCAAAAGCAATTGCTAATTAGCAAATTGCTACAAGTAAAAGCAATTGCTAGATCTTCATATGAATAAAGTTTTAAGCAAATGCTGCTTTTCCAAACATCTTTCCAGCAATTGCTTACTGAAAACAAGTCCAGGCTTGTCTTATTTCACTTATCATTTCATTCCGGTGCCGCCCGTATTTTGTTAGTTGAGTACAACCCCGCGGATTAGTTTGCTACGATTATTTATATTTGTGATGGCAGATTTAAGTGAAGAGGGAAGTAGTAGCGATGAAGAATTTGAAGATATTAAAGACAAGCAATTTATATTTATACAGAAACTGAAGGAACATAAAATAGTTTTCAATAAGTCACAAGTGCCCCAAGTTAAACTAGAAAAACAGGCCGCTTTAACAATCTTAGTAAAGCAATATAGAGAAATATTCAACGTCTTACTAACGACAAAACAGTTAGCAAAGAAAATTAGTAACATGAAGGCAGAGATAAAAAAGAAGTTTGATGTTAACAAGACAGGCAACAAACCATTGATCTACAAAGATTGGGAAAAATTGTTGATGGATATGCTGGATGTAAAGAAAAATCCCGTCTTTAATAAAATACCAGGTATAGTAGCTAATTTTTTTAATAATGCCCCTTGAAACAAAATAAAAAATACAATTTTCAGGCGCTATTTCCGTCGGAGATGACGAACAAATGATTCGTGATAAGCCTTCTACATCATCGAATGACATTTTTATTACTAAAGATGAAGCTTGCAGTACCACTCCTAGAAAAAAAATTAAAATATCAGATAAACTACCTGAAACTGATGAAACGAGAAATTTGTCAACTGTTGAACTACAACGATTAGTTTTATTAGAACAGCTTAAATTATGTCGTATGCAACAGGGAGAAATCTTGAGGAGAAAACAAGAATCTGATGATACATTTCATGTCAACAATGTTGTTATGGAAAACGGCAAGAAGTTCTTCCAGTTATAGTAAGAGTGCACATATTTAAGAAAATGTATTGCAATCATAATTGATTAAGTTGAAAATACACCTGTAAAATTAGTTTTCATATTTGATTGTTTTCTTCGAATATTTAATTTAAGATTTTGATTAAAATTTGATTTTGTTATCGAAATTATATAATTAGATAATTATTATTTGTTGTTTAATAAATAAATAAATTAAATCTAATACATACATGATTAATTAAAGAGCATTTGAGTTATCAATTCTCGATTTTGCTGTCCTAATTGACGAATCACATTTGTCGTTAGATCGTTTGGTGGTTGTGCGTCAATTCCAAAATCGTCATCTTGAATCGAATAGTTAAAATCTGGATCATTCAATTGTTTAGCGATATTATGAAGGACAACGCAGGCAATTATCGTCGATGGAATTTTATCTAATTTGTTCCGAACTTTATACCGAAGGACAGGGAACCTTGCTTTCAACTGTCCAAAACATCTCTCAATTACCACACGTTCTCGGCAGAAAACGTTGTTGTAATTTTGCTGCTCCTGGGTTGCAGGATTTTTCCAGGGAGTCATAACCCAAGGCGATATGGAGTAGCCATCGTCTCCTAATAATAAGCAATCTTCTGGGCTATTTTTAAGAATGTTGAATACGTTGGAATTTTTGAAAATTCTGCTATCGTGCACAGAGCCTGGCCATTGGCAATCTACGCTTGTAAACATTTCTCGTGCATCACAAGTTGCTTGCACGTTGATGCTGGGGTATCCTTTTCGGTTAATATATTCATCACCAAATTCTTGAAACTTTGGAATCCTGACGTGAGTACAGTCTATCACACCGATGGCATTTGGAAAACGGTATCTGTCTGACCACAACCGTTTAGCTTCCACAACAGCTTCAGCACTCCTAGGGAATTTGATGAAAATATTGGCCTTCTCAACAACTGTATTGAGTACGGAAGTGTATGTCTTACACACAGAAGTTTGGTGAATTCCAAGTTCTTCACCAACAGAATTTTGATAGCCAGGATCTGCCAATTGCCGCAGAAAGACTTTCATCTTAGTTAAAGGTGATAGTGCGCCCCCTCGCGTTTCCCCCACATCAGTCAAAAAATAATCTGCCAACCATTGAACATTCTCGCGATCGAAGCGATATAACTTTTTGAAATTATCGTCTCTGCAATTTTTTCGTACACTGTAAATTTTTCTCTTACGCAAATTCATATATTCAGCCATAATTATACGCTACAGCAAATATTCATCACAGAGAACTAAATTTGACTGAAGTCAAGTAAAGTAAAAGATGCAGGGGTCAACCTAGCTTGAACATTTGGAAGCAATTGCTACACTAGAAAAAGCAATTCCTTATTTTATTCATCACATTTTAAGCAAAAGATAGCAATTGCTATCATTTTTTAAGAAAAAGCTTTGACTAGAAGCAATTGCTGCACTTCTAAGCAATTGCTGGAAGCAAAAGCAATTGCTTTGGTTTTTATTTATTAGATTTCAAGCAATTACGCCACTTTTATAAGAAAAAGCAATTGCTACGTTTTTATTCATTAGGCTCATTAGGTAGAATCTTATTAAACTGCATTAACCATCAACGATACGTTCCATAGCCAATAGTGGGATCAACTGGGAGATTAATTATTTTGTTTGAATTTGCGAAGATTCCGTGATCAATTTATTTATTAGTCAGTTATTCCGTTTTTGTTAGTATTTATCAAAATTGGGTTTTCCTAAAGTGGTAAATTGAATTTCGCGCCATTTTCTTACTGTCAATCTGTTATATTTTGACACTTGTGACGGTTACAAAGGTCCATTCTTTGGAAAAAATTCTGCATCACACTGCCGCAATGGTTATCCTACAAATCTGTTCACGTTGCTTCTTTTAAGTAGGAATGAGTGAGCCTATGCTCGTTAGGGTATTCATTTGTATTGCTTTTTTTGCTTCAAGCTGATCTCAGCAGCAGATCGGCGTTCACTTGTCCCATAATTCCCATATAATAGGCTCATAAATAGCAGCTCCTAGCAGATCTTCCTGATTTTTCGAGCAGGTAGAGCAAGTACAAATGAGCAGCTACGTGAGTCAGGATGAGCAAGTACAAATGAACAGCTACGTGAGTCAGGATGACTTTGCTGATTAAATCCAAGGATCGATTTTACAGCTAGAATGAAGCAAAGTTTGAAATGATACTCCCGTAATGAAAACCCCTGACCTGGGGCCCGATTCTCGTCTCAGGGAATAGAGCTCCCCGATAGAACGAATGTTTTGTCCTTATCAACGTAATCGAAAAGTAAACGAGAATGATAAAGAGAAAACATTTGTTCTGTTTAGAAGCTCTAAGTCCCTGAGACGAGACGGGCCCCATGATACAATAAACTATTTTTTCTGCGATTGACAAGAAATGTCAGCATTTTTGACGGGTTGACAGGTCGCAATACTCAAGATTCTGTTATTTTAATGATATTTCAATAGTTGCTAGGGAATCAATGAATAACAATACGGGAACTGCTGAATAATTGGAACAAAAAGACAACCATTTAACAGATATTTAACCGATCGCAGGAAAAATAGTAAGTATGTGTATTTCGGTGTAAAAGCACATTCTCAGCCTTCGGTGTTTGCCGGCCTCGGCTACGCCTCGCCCGTCAACTCAACTCACACCGTCGGCCGAGAATGTGTCACTTTTCCACCTAAATATACAATATACTATTTCTATCATCGCCTCAAAAAAGCTACTTTCTGGCAGTTCAGAACAAACGTAATTTCAAAAGAGTTTGATGTCAGATACTCGTGACCAAACTAAATCAGAATCACGTTTGAATTTCACCTAAACCCTTTGGAAAACTTCATACCTATAGAGAAAGTTTTACTATTTCACATTCATTCACGAACAAGTTATAGGTATTCACTTTCATCTTTCAATATCTTCTTATTAGTCACATTTTTACTGGTCTACATAACTTCACTCTTCCATATTTTGGTGCTCAGATTGACTTGGGTTTGATTTGTGTTCAGAGCTAAAAATTGCTTTTGGTGCTCTGGTACCTATACTATTAGTATATCCGCATTTTTTCTTTTTTTTTTGTGTAGGTATCGTCACAGAATCCAAGCTAGACGAATCCAAAATAAAAAAGCAGAATTTCAGCATCCCCCTTGTGGACGTAGAGCGAATAATGAAGAGCACGGCAGGGGTCAGTGAAGAGCCTATCGACATGAAAGTTTTAATACTATTATCCAAAGCTACCGAATTGTTTATTAAAAAATTCACCAAAGATTGCGTTGCCAAAAGCAACCCTGAAAAATTAAAGTACAACCATTTCGTGGAACTTGTGCACGAAAAAGGGAGCAAATACGGTTTCGTAAGCCAAATTGTACCAAAGAAAATTACTGTACGGGAGTTCAAGGAATTAATGGCCAAAAAAGAAGCCGCCCGAAAAATGGAGGAGGCAAAGGCAAATTATTGAGTGAGATACCATAGTACCTATAATAATATATAAGAATAAATTATTAATATTTGAATAGTAGAAGAACTAATGTTTTTGTAATGTAGTACATTAATACATTTTATACCTATACGGTTGGTTTTTTTCTCAAACTCATCATGATCCTGTAATGTATTTGCAATTTTCATAAATCATGCATTAAATCTCTTGCCTAAATACCATAAGGCAGGTCACCACATAAGCTGTGGCAAGAATCAATAAAGGAAACATTTCTACTTGGAAAAGATTTTGATGAAAAGAATAACTAATCTTGCAACATGTGAATTTGTTGTGTCCCAGGTTACTCACAGGTCTCGGTCTTCCATCCAGCACTTGTGAGTATTTGAAGAAGAAACAGAAACACCAATTTTGGATTTCTCAATTAGGGTTTTGCTTCCAGGACGGCTAGAAATTTGTAATTTGTAGTAATTATTTTGACTAGACTATAGGGACTATTAAAGTTTCACTTCCAATGATATTTTCCTATCATACATTATTTCATAACTCCTGTGATAAGTGTTAAGAAATTGTGCCAGAATTTTTTAAACACGGATATTTATCTCTGCTTTTTCTTGAATATGTCCATGTATTTAGAGGAAAACCAACTTGGACAATGTTCACCTGTGAATTGGTTATTTCTCTTTATTGGGTCATAATTAAAACACGGTAATTATTGCAAATCCAGTTCCGCTGTGTGAGTTCATAAGGACCCGTTTTTTAACGTCAATGAAGCATTCTCGATTGGTGTCACACACTATATATTTTTGATTTTTTTCAAGTTATGCTCCTGTCCCAGAATAATATCAATGTCCTCTCCCTTTGCCTTCTGGTTGAGCAGGTCGTGCGCTGCAACGCAACTGCTTAGGTTTTTTTGCAGAAACTTGGTTGTCTTCCTTGTCTCGTTCTTACTATCGCCGTTGCGAGTCGTTGTATGAGTAGATAGGTGTCGCGTTTGTTATTGTGTTGTTCTTGTTCTGGATTACCTTGGCCATCAGTCGTACTGTTTACTCCTTCTAGCACCTGATAGAGCACTTCTAAACATCTTGCAGTTTCCTCTGCTCCAGCGTAATGGTAATTTGCTTTACAGTGTTGGCAATATGACTCGTTTTTGCATTCTGCTCTTTTGTGGTCTGGTCCAGTGTAGTTTTGGCATAAATTCTTGCTTTGTGGCCGAAGCCCCAGCACCTGTAGCACCTTTCCAAGTCTAGTATTTCTTCTATTCGACAAATATAAAACCCTATTCTTACTCTGCCTTCTTTTAGTAGGTTGCTTGCGTCTGCCTCCGCTAAGGATACTTTCGCCACTTGTACAGTCCTTTGGTTTTGCCCCTTCCGTCCTTTCACATTTTGCTGTCCTTGTAATATTTCCCCTATTTTTTCTTTGACTGTCTGTCCTGACTCTTTGAGTTTGACATTTAGTAAGAGGTCGCCTTTTGCCGTTTTTATAGCTCTGCTTATTCGTTTTAGAATCTGTTCGTCTTTGATGTCTTTCAGGTTTTTAAGGGTATCAGCGTAGGAGCAGGTACTGATGTCTATAATTATTGCATCATCCCTTCTCTTGTTGGCTGGATTCCTTGGTTCCGGTGGGTCTAGATCGGTTATCCTTATTTGCACGTCGGTGTTGAAGAAGATAGCTTCTGCCATCCCATATTCCTCATCGTTATTGCTCTGACTCTTGGTGGAAGGCTGACAAGTGTCTCCTTAATATTTTCTTGTTCCATTTCTTGCTTGAGTGACTTGAGAATTTCAAAGACGTCTTTCAGGTTTCAACCGTTCTGTTCAGTGTGGTCTAAGAAAGCCGCCGTTATTCCTTTCCCGAGTGAAATCTTTTCAGCCGTTCTGTTTCTGAAGGTGGTGTACATACCTACACCTGTTCTACCTTGGAGTAGCTACCTCCTTGGCATTGGTTTTTAGTTCCTTCCATTACTTCGGGAAAGCGCCTCGTAACCCAAACTTACAAAGTAACTGAAACCTACCAATACTAACCCAAAGTAACTCAAATATACCAATACTAACCCAAAGTATCCTAAACTTACCAAAACTAACCCAAAGTAACCCAGACTCACCAATACTAACTCAAATTAACACAAACTTACCATTTAGTGTTTTATTTATTCATTGCATTAAGTATATTTTGACAATGTCGGATTCTGAGGAGGTAAAATCTCTAATAAAAAAACGCGGAACGCTTAAATCTAGATTAACATTATTCGAAAAATACGTAAATTCTATTGAGAGCCTTAATTTATCATCGGAGTCGGTAGAACGTTTTGTAGTTATTGAGTTGGAACAGCGAATGCAGGTATTTGATGGCTTAATAACTAATTTCGAGGATATTCAGGGTGATATTGAATGCGGCATTGATGATCCTGATGGCCAGTTAAACGAACGCGAAGAATTTTGTAATAGATATTACTGTATTTTATCAAAAGCAAAGCAACTATATGAAACACTGAAGCCGGTAGACACCCAAAGTAATAAGTCAGTTAGTCAGAGTAGTTCAGGAAATCAGACACAGCACTTTAATGATGGAATAAAACTGCCAGACATAAAATTGCCAAAATTTGACGGGTCCTTTCAGGCTTGGTTAGATTTCCGTGATATTTTTGAATCTCTCATTCATGATAATTCGGCGCTAAATAAAATTCAAAAATTTCATTACCTCAGGGCATCACTATCAGGTTCAGCAACCCAGGTGATTCGGTCGTTAGAATTTAGTGAAAATAATTACGATATAGTTTGGGATACATTGTGTGAGCGATTTAATTAACACCAATTTGTTGGTGCAAAACCATATTAATGCGATTTTCACGTTGGAAATTATAACGGCCGAGTCCGCTATAAAAATTCGAAATTTATCAGACAATCTTTTTAAACATTTATCAAGCCTAAAGTAGTTAGGAGAGCCCACCGAGCACTGGGACACTTTGATAATATATATTTGTTCAAGTAAGTTAGATAAAATTTCTTCTCGTGAATGGGAAAGACTGAAAGCAAAACAAAGTAGTTCATGCTCCTTAGATTTTTTCAAGAAATTTTTAGAATAGCGAGCCGATTTACTTGAAAATATGGAAATTAATTTTGAAAAAGTTCGAAATGAATCACGTTCTGGATCGAGTTCTGGATATCGTTTTCGAGATAAACTAAATTCGACACGCGAAAATAAACAAGGTTATAACAGAAATTTGCATATTAATACACAAGATAGAAATGAGCACAAGTCAAATTTCAGTTGTTTTTATTGTAAAGGAAATCACAGTCTTTTTTATTGCTCGGATATCTTAAAATTATCAGTACAGGATCGAAATGCGAAAGTCAGGGAAATGCATTTATGCGTCAATTGCCTTCGTCCCAATCACACGTTTAATGATTGCAAATGGTCAGGTTGCAAAATCTGCGGAGTAAAGCATAATAGTATTTTGCACAAAGACAAGGAAAAATCTAATACAGCTCTTGTTTCATCACAGTACGATGAAGAAAGCGAACTATCACAAAATTTGGCACAGCACGCAAGTTGCAATCTTGTAAACGTAAAAAATGCAATTTTATCCACCGCAAAGGTAGAAGTACGAGATGCAACAGGCAACTTTGTCACAGCACGTGCACTTCTTGACTGTGGTTCGCAGTCAAGCTTTATGACGACAGAATTGTATCAGAAATTAAACTTGCCAAAATCAAAAATTAATTTAACCATTACTGGGATTAACGATAAAACGACATATTCAAATTTTAAATGTAATTTAAAAATACGGTCATTGGTAAATCGCTACAGTTTTCATTTAGATTGTTTTATACTTGATAGGATTACAAGCAACATACCAGGTTTTAAAATTAATCGTCCATCCTTGCAAATACCGACCAACATCAAGTTAGCAGATCCCGGATTTGATGAATCACAGCAGATAGATTTATTAATTGGTGCAGACGTTTTCTGGAGCATTTTACGTTCAGAAAAAATACAATTAATCAATAACGGTCCCTTGTTACACAATACGGAAATCGGTTGGGTTATAGCAGGTCCGTTATCTCTTTTGAACGACAAGACAGTTTGCAATTTAAGTACACATTCGATTATTCAAGACCAACTTGCTCGTTTTTGGGAGATAGAGGAAGTATCCACCAAAAAACCTTTTTCAGTAGAGGAGGAATTATGCGAAAAACACTTCGTAGATCATTTGCAGGTTTCCCCTGAGGGTAGGTTTATTGTCTCTTTGCCCTTGAAGGCTTCTCCCAGAAAATTAGGCGATTCACGAGAAATTGCGATTAAACAATTTGCGAGTTTAGAACGAAAATTAATGTCCAACGAAACTTTGAGACATTTATATACGGCCTTTTTACGCGAGTATGAGCAACTTGGTCACATGAAAGAAGTGACAGATAACGATGACGTTTACAACCATATTCCAGAATATGTAATGCCACACCATGGAGTACTTCGCGATACGAGTTCAACTACAAAGTTACGGGTAGTTTTCAATGCATCATCTTCAGGCGTGTCTCTTAACAGTTTACAGATGAATGGCCCTATTATACAATCAGATTTATTATCAATAATAATGAGATTTCGCATGCGAGCTATAGTTCTATCTTGAAACATAAAGATGATGTATCGACAAGTATTGTTGAATCCTGAAGAGCGAAAATTACAAAGAATCATATGGCGATTCAATACGAGTGAACCGATTAAAATTTATGAACTTAACACAGTCACTTACGGCACAACAGCGGAGTCCTTTTTAGCAATACGAAGTTTATTTGAAGTCGCAAACGAGTGTGAGAATGATTATCCAAATATCGCGCAAATAATTAAAAAAGACATGTATGTTGATGACTTGCTCACAGGCGTAGACACACCAGAAGAAGCGCAGTTGGTTATCAAAAACATCATGCATGTTCTTTCTAAACGAGGATTCGATATGCGTAAATGGAAATCTAATTATCCAGAAGTTATTCAGAATTTCAATGCCGATCAAGCGGAAAATACGTTAGAATTT